GTAGGATTAATGAGAAAATTTTTGTGAATTTTAATGAAATACGGCTGCGGAGAAATTGAGAAGATGCGCAAACGCCACTGTTTTACGACACTCAGCCATGATGCCACACTTCCTCTCAACGCGGTTCTACCACCACTGTTATCATTCTAGAAGGCACTTTCGGGTGAGGAGAGTTGTTTGTTGGAACAACGATCAGAGTATCGACAGATTTGATTACATAGAACGAAATATTTCATCTGGAACGGATCAAACATGGTGTACTACTCACAATGTGAGTAGTACCCCACAACACTTCTACTACTACTACTACGAGTAGTCGAGTAGGAAATTGACACATGCTGAGCAGGAGAGATCAAGTGAAACATGCCAGCTGAGATTAATGAATTTGCGTTGCCGTTTATTTCTTTATCAGCATAGAGATAATTGTATATTGACTCCCAGGCTTTCCACCGCAGAGTGATCTATTCCCTCTGCATGGCAAATACATGACTAGCAAACAACGAAAGTCTTTGTGACTTCAAGCTATTAGGTGATTTAAAATAGATGTCTCGCTCTCTTAAACAGAGGAGGGCATCAGCTTGAATGAACCTCACCGGTAATCTTTTCAGAAACCTTCTATTTTGCATGCTTATAGAGCAATCATATGATTGATTCATTAACTGAGTGAATGAATCATGATTTAGTAAATTTCGAAATGGCGAAAACTCCTTTCCCGTGGAATGGTTATGAGGCATATGTGACTCCTTCACAGTGTATTTTTCATTTTTGAGTATTGCACTCAAACAACGCGGGGACGCGCAATTCACATTTCCATCCGTTTCGTCATTTCTCTCCCTGTGTCATAACAGACCGAGGAAAAACAAGCGGAAGAGGTGAGTTCCATCTTGCCTGATCGATACTTGCAAACTCACCGTTTCATTAGCACCAAGCTAACCGTAATCGTTTTTATTAAGGCTGCTTTTCGTGCGGCTTGTAACAGGTTAGAGGAAGCCTAGAATTGGTAGAGTTTATCGGGTGATATCTGTACAATCGTGACAGAGGTATATATGTGGGATTCGGCTGAAATGAAGATTAATGCCTACTCATTCATTCAGTCGTGCATTGGTTATCTTTCAATAAGGCTGTTTCTTTATTCCGCCTTCAACACGACGACGACGATGCATTGAATGTGAATCACCAGTGTACACAGTGTACATGATCATCTTGCTCCATCTGAACAATCACGAGAACTGCGCGCGGGTGTCTTATCTGCATCGTGTCTGGTTAAATCGCTCGCCGCACTCCGCCTCATTGAACCACAGTTGAACTTCCATTCACACTGACAACCATGCGAGGAAGGCGTAGAGGAATGCCCACCCATCCGTCCGCCCGTCCACCCACCTGGTCTGATGTGTGATAATGCAGACGGAGCATTCCAAACCAAGCGAGAGGAAGATTAATGCTCTGTTGCGTAAGCTGGTCATCGCTTTCCAAACGGCACATCGAAAACGCTTCATTTGATCCGCTCATGATCACCTGCACGGTCGGTTAGCATTGTTGCTTTGAACGAACCATAAACATTTTGTTTCATTTTGTGAATTAGTTCGCTTTTTCAATGTAACAAATGCTATATATATATATATATATATGAAAAATTGAAAACTGTCTGATCGGTCCTCGGTGTCCGAGTAGATAGCACGCTTACGTTCTGCCCAGGAGGTCCCGGGTTCGATCCCCAGTTGTGTCGATGGATTCGCACTGCTGAAGAGACCCAATCAGGTCCAAAGAGCTGTTCAGTGCTTTCTAGCTTTTCACTTCGCATTTCATTTGCTCTATAAGTGACGAATTCACCTTTTAAATTGAATCAAATCCTCCGTCACTCACTTGAACTATACATGAATTAACGTTGGGCAACTTCCTTTCTCGAGTAAAGATGACAGGTAGGAGGGATCGAATGTAGAAATAGCATATATCGAACGGTTTCACGGTTCTTGTGGTTTATTAGACATGTGCAACCGGTCATCTTTTGTTTGTTTATTCATATACTTTTACCCAGGAGGTGTATTTTCGTCACAATAACCGTATTTGCAACACTTGGTAGATTCTTTTGGACAGCTCTTTCAAAAATAATCCATTTATGAACAATCCTGTCATTCAATGTTTTGTAGGTGGGTTAGACGCTATTAGCAGCAACAAACGTGGCTTTAAAGCTGTCTAAATAAATTTACCCGGTGTTGTATACACATATCTTCGGTCCCGGAGTAGACACATTAAACTGTAGTAACATACCTCTTCCCCACCACGGGTTCTGGGTTCAAACCCAGGGTAGGCCGATGGTTGTGTCGTAATTGAAGTAATTAAGGAATCCAATGGCACACTGATTCAGCCACAGCAGCGCCGTCTTGACCCATATGCTGAACATTTCGAGGTTCCGTTCAACTGTCCCCCCCCTCCCCATCGACATCAGACTTTTCACCCNCAGTTGATGCCACTCCTCTATATGTAATAGAGGTTTCTCGGGAAATACGTTATCTCAAAAGGCATAGAGCCTCCGATCCAGACGGGCTGTCCTCGTCGGCTTGGCAGGATAGAGGTTCTGCGTTGGTCTCAGAGTTGCCGGAAATCCTGGGTTCAATATGGGAGAGCGAACAGGTTCCAGCTGAATGGGGTGAATCGGTCATCTCACCGATTCACAAGAAAGGTGACAGATCCTCCCGCGAAAATCATAAAGGAATTGGTTTCATTAACCTTACCTCTAAGCTACTCGCTGTCATCATACCTCATCGATCGTCTGCTGCATTTGAAGGGTGCACACAAGAGAACCAGGCTCGTTTTAGACCTAGTCGAGAATGTAGAGACCATGTTTCCATTCCACCCTTCGCTAAAAATTCTGGAGCACCGAAATTCTTTTCGCAAACCCATCAATTCTGTATTCCTCAATCTGGAAACAGCCCGCAACTCAGTCGACTGGTCTAAACTCCGGTGCTGCCTTTTCCCCAAAAGTTTATGCCAATATTACGGTCCCTTTGTATTGATAATTGAAGACAAGTCCTAGCCCACGGCACTTTTTCGCTCGAGTTCACCACAGAAAGTGGAGCTTGTCAGAGTTTTCTTCTCTACCTGTTTCTCAAACATTTGATAATGGAAATAACCTTTTCCTTGTACGAAGATAATGGCAATGAGTTTTTTCCCGGGTGGTAAACTGTCTGATTTGGACTATACAGACAACGTTTTACCGCTGAGTCAAAATCCAGTCTAGTTGCAATCTTTGGTGGATAATGTAAGTGCCAGATTATACATGTCCTGTATGCGTTTTGTACCATCAGAGTGTAAAATGTTACTACAAGATTGGGTTGGTACAGCACCCAGCCTAATTCTATCTGGGAAGTAATAAACCAAGTGAATAAGTTTTGCTAATTGGGTAACTATATCCCAATCGGTGGACGCATTATGGAACAAGTGTCAGCTCGCATATAAAA